TGTGAAATATGGGATAATTTTGTAGTATGATTTATTGTTTATAGGTGACAAAGAAGTGGAAAGTAATAAATAATATTTAGATGCTTCGATTTGAAACTACTGTAAAGGTAAGTAACTAAATAACCCTACTAAAAGCGGTGTTGTGTGAGGGGTGACCATTTTGGTTCATTTTAATAATACGTATTTAGTTTTTAGCATCTACTGTATTTTTTTTTGTTATTATGTGCCAAATAAATGTTTCTTTCCTTCTTTCTTTCTTTCTAAAAAGATTAAAGTTTTCTAGGCGTAACCCCGTCCTGTAAAATAACATCGACAGAAAAAGACAATAATGATAAACACCCGTAATAAAGAGTCAACAATTTGGTCATGCACGAATAATGTACATACATATGCTTCTCATATTATTTTAAGAAGTGACATATTTAATGCACAGAAATGCCCACAATACGAGTGCGTACAACGCGCTGTTATCTTTTTTAAACCACTTGGATGAAAAGGCGGCGTTTCATATCCGCGCATATAATTACTATAATAACGCTTGGTGTTGGAGGCAGTTTAAGGAGCTACTTGCGTATACACGATCCGATGAGGACTGCACGATTTTGAGTACTTTATGGATATGGGGCTTGTAATTGCGTCGTTGCGAAGCTGCTCCGATGAGCGGAGTGGTGGCGTTCGCGGTCTTATCGATACGACCTTGGTCACGGCTCCACGCCTACACTGGGTTAATCGATTCATTCCGACCATTAACCGTGGAAGTCGCCACGCACTGGTGCTATAAAGGCTTTGGCTTATCCCGATGTGAATTTATTTCTATTTCAGTCAAGAACACAACCACGCGCAAGCGCCGGTTAAACACTCTCTAACAAGAACGTGTCAAAAACGAATAATACTCAAACAAACTAGCTGTTATGACGTGAAAACTGTATGGATTCGCCTATTTCAATACAAAAAAAAATAAATTAAGGCTGCCACACATTGACATTTAACACAAATCTTTGTATGTTTCTGAGACAAACCGACTGTTGAAGACAATCGAACTTTGACGGAGCTACGTAAAAAACTGGCGCGCCCCATTCAAAGTCAAAGTAAGAATATCTTTATTCAATATATGCTTGTTTTAATTTCTTATTGAACCTCGAAAGACTTGACGGCTTTTGGAAATTTACCATTGAAATAATACTTGTTATTCGACAACGAAATATTGAGAAAGCTCCATGATAGCGGATAGGAAAAACTTTATTAATTAAATAAGGTCCATTGCAGGGCCGCATTTTCTTCACATGTATTAAATCGCATGCATTACATTTTGAAATTTGCATCTTTTCTTGGAATATGTTCTCACTTTCACTCCTAGGAAATATGTAAAGCTTCAACAATGATAATACATTACACTAGATACTACAATGCGGAAAAACGAACACGTTTTTGTTTACATAGCTTCCAGCAACGTTTCGCATGTCTATATAAATGCAATTTGAAATATGAAACGTGTCGAAAGGCGCCGCAGCGCATAAATTTATTGTACACAACAACAACCTAATAATTATTTAAACTTGTAATGGACTGATAAAATCAGTACAATCAGTTTTTTTATATTTCTTATTAAAGTTCAAGATCAACTTTGGTGTAAGAAAAGTGAATGAATTTAATAAACTGAAAATAGGTCTAAATGTCTAATAAACTTAAATGTATATGAACTTTATAAAATTCAATTGCACATTTAGACCGTAATGCTGATTTTTAGTATGCCAAATTTAGGCGTTTGTTTGTAAAAACATGTTTAACATCATAACAAGTACTCTTCTTAAATTAATTAAAGCACTATTACATACGTTCGTTAGTTTTTATAAGTTTTTGGAAACGTGTCTGAAAAGCCACATCATTGAGTTTTAGTTTAATTACAGGTGTAAACTACACCTCCGGAATTTATTGGCAAGCGCATCGTTAATGAAAAACGCTAACACTCTCAAAGCTTTGTAATGTAACAAGCTCTAAATGTTATATGCCGGTGCATTCTATAAGACTCATCCCAATATACCTATTGATCATAGCCACGGATAAATCAGTGGTTTATCAATCCCACATAACGCACAGGAGGCGGGGTACCCCTTGGAACTCTATGCCAAAAACGATAATATAGCCGCTTCATTGTTCTCTTTCACTGTGGTACGGTCACATAGCATCTTCTCCCGTTGCAGGAATGGGCAGGCCCCTTCGGAGAAGTACAATGGTTACAGAGTACCGGTCTGAAGCGAATGTAGTATGCTTTTGAGTTCTGTTTGCTGAGTGAGTGCCCATTTCGGAAGTCAGTAACGCATCTGCCAACCGAAACAAGTCTTAGAAGTCGCTGTGTTATATAAAGAAGAAGAAGGATTTCCTCATATATCGTGCGGACCAAAGCAAATAACTTGCTCTCGTCTTTAACATATTAGATTATAATAAAAAAGGGTTTACAGACAAACTACTACGCACAACATATGCAGTGACGATAACCACATCAATGTTGAATGCCATGTCCGTGACATTTAACACGTCCCAAAATAGAAGAATAGTACGGGAATGGGACGTGTGGACGGTGTTTACGGGCCGCTCTCATTCCGACCGCGACCGGCTGTAGGGCATGCGCTAATGGTAGTTAAATGAGGGGGGACCCGCTGTTTTATTGTTCCTTGATACGACGACAGCTCGCCGATTGCGATAAAGGCCCCTTCACACGGGCTTCACACTCGCTCCTTGTAGTGAGTAACTCGCTCAGCAGGCGGTGTAAACGCCTCTACAGCAAAATCCCCGTTAATGCGCAGTCTGTCTGTTAATAGGTTTAAGAAATTAATTAAAGAGAAAGTCTTCAAAAAAGGTATATTATAACCTTTTTTGAAAAGTATAAATGAATACATTAACGATAATAAACCCTGGGAATGATGCTCCTAAGTGTTTGCTCCCAAGCTGATTCTAATGAAAAATTATATACTGAATAACATTATAAAATTTTTGGGGGAAAAGACGATACCTATGGAGTTTCTTTCGCCTGTTTGTTCTCCGTTAGAGGAACGTCATTACCAAACGGGGGTAGATTTAATAAATGACTATCGATGAATGTATATTTCTTACGTTGATGAATAAATGATTTGATTCGACTGCGACTCCTGGTCAAAGTTCGCCAATGAAATAGAGTAATATAATTGCCTATTATCAAAATAATTGTTCTTTTTATGTTAACTGCTTCGGTTGATTTTAACTTTTCCACGTCCAAATTCATAGGACGTAACCAATATTGATTACATAACACGAACCAACAAGTATAAATGCGCCTTAAAATCACTAGCATTGCGCTTAGCTGCCAGAAAAAAAGCTATTTTTCAAAAGCGTCGTCAAGCCAATTAAACGCAACTAACCGTTAATTAATGACACGACACGCGTTAAACTTCCCACGTTCTCTGACCATTCAAAAGCGTGTTAATCGCGCGTTAAACATTCGCCACATTGTCCAACCGCTGCAATTGCGGTGTGTCCAGCTAATTTGTTTGGAAAAGGGACTGCGTACCGGAGCGGAGCGAAAGGCGGCGGTGTGGCAGTGCTCTTAGCGGGCGGAAAAAAATAATTACGCGCGCGGTTTTTGCCGCGGGTTGATGGCTAAAAAGCGCCGTCGGAGGCGCATTATGGTATCATTTCACGTGACAATTTGTGGGGTTCCATTGCGTCGATTGCCCGCCGGGTTATTAGTGGGCTTTCCATTAGGCGACGCTTCCATTAGGCCGCAAAAACTGCGGCGAAGTGTTAGCGGCCGTCGTTTCGCACATTCCGGAATATTTTCAGTTTGTCCGGCGCTCGGTTCGAATGAGAACTCACGGTGATGTTGAATTTTTACGTTTTTCTTAACAAACGATAAACAAGTCCGTTTTTTATTAACGATAAACAAAGCCGACTTCAAACGTCTCGCTCGGTATTCATTTTATAATTGATTTTCAGTAGTTCCCGAAGCATCTCCGGCGCCCAAGATCCAATACCAATGAAATTGCTCTGAGACCACATGGGAAGCACCAGCTTTCAGATAAAAAAAGAATCATCAAAATCGGTACACTCTCTCGGTCTGTTCAAAGTTCTGAAGTAACAAACATAAAAAAATATACAGTCGTTTTGAGAATCTTGTCCTGAAGTTTAAATTGTTTATAGTGCTAATCTTTGCACTTAAGATTGAACATTAAAATATGTAGAAAAAGTCGTTCGTCGGTGTGGCAATCAGCCGTTTAGTCAGTGGCTAGAGCGTCAGGCCGCGAATACCGAAGACGTGGGTTCGATTCCCACAGCGGCGACATTCTTTTCGTACTTTTTCTACATATTTTAATCTTGTCCTGAAGTTTAAAATAAGCTTGCCTTTATCTAATATTAGGTCTTAATACATTATACAAATATTCTAATATCGTTTGGCGTAAGCCTACACTCTTGTTTTCAATGTCAATGTTACATATTTTTGTGTCGGAGCAATAAAAGCTTTTATAGTTCTTCAAAACAGCCTGTAACGAGACAGTTGTATCACAAAGTTGTATTTTAATATTAATGAATGATTATTCTTCACAGAAGCTTCTACAAATAAGAAACTTTAACAAGACTGTCAGACATTTATGCAAATCTTATTGACAGCGAACGGTTAAGTTAAATTCGCGTAAATACAAGAAATGGTGTTTGTCCTATATATATATATATATCCTTATATATATGTCCCCACATATGTCCTCATATATGTATATCCTTATATATTTATATACTTTTCCTTTAAACAACGCGTTATTAGAAGGACTTAATGGGAATAAAAGAGTGATGAGTAGAATAAAATGTATAAATATATAAACAATCCGCAGTGGGGTCTTGATACCCTATGTACAGACGAGGCCTTTGCCCAGCAGTGGGACGTTTATAGGCAGTTACTTTAATTTTTATATAAACAAATAGACATTATAAATAATCGATGCACGAATGTCTCTTCGCACCTAGACCGGTTAGCAACTTCGGCGGGTGCGGCGCGGGGAGGCCACGTCCAGATGGTGAATGGGCGAGTATTTGCACGCGCCGTTGCGCAAGTGGCCGACCACTTTCGTCATTTCAAGAGTTACTGGCTGAGGCGCGGAAGGTGCGCACCGCCTTCCGTTTAATTCGGACAACCGCGACACCTTAATCTCTTCACATCGATTTCAATGCATTGTGCATTTTATGTGAGAAGTTGGCGAACGCGCTGGCGGTTCACCTGATGTTAACTGATAACAGCCGCCCACGGACATTTGCAACACCTATAGAGTTGCAGATGCGTTGCCACCTTTTAATAAAGTGGGCCCCGGTTACCTCACTGACCAGATGAAACGCAGAATTGTAACACTCCTACTTCACGCCTGTCTTCTGTGAGGTCGCGGTTCCCCGGACGTACCTGCCCATTTGTGCAACATCAGCACCACAGTTAGTTACATATCGCGTTATTTAGTTAGAATTTGTTACTGTGGTAAATAGTTTGTTGGCAATAAAATTTCCATACGCAGTGTATTTTAAGAAGAAAACATTTCATCGGCCAAATAACAAATTCATTTCGAAGTTCCGTCCTCCACGTGACAGCACAGAAAGTTGTTTTAATTTTAACAGTGTTTATAATGATGATATATCTTAATGACGAAGTACATTCATTATTAATGGTAACCAACAAAAACTAAAAAGAATACACGTTTTCCGACTCACGATTTCCCTTTGAGTAAATCGTTTCATTTATAATATAACTTTGGTCACAGACGATGTGTCTTCGTATGCGTACACGCCATACGAACAAGTCCCAAATGTTGGTCAAGGGTAACCACCGAGCAGATGTCATCTGCTCTCCCAGCAAGGGATCAATACCACTTGTGTATAAATCCACATTTCCATTAAACTTTCACGTAAAACTAGCGAGTAAGACTGATGGCTAATGATTACTTTACACAAAACTTTTGGCGCCCCTTATCGTGATGAGTGCCTAACACTATGTGCAAATTGGCACAGAGCTTTTCGTTAAAATATGTAGAAAATTAAAATATGTAGAAAAAGTGCGAAAAGTATTAAAAAAAACCATAAAATGGCGAATACTTCCACCTCGATGGGATAATAATCTGTGCACCATTCATTAGTATTATATCCGAATATAATACATCATCATCGCCCTGCTCAAGTCCACTGATGGGCCAAAGACACGCCACAAAGCCTGGTCTTGACTACTTCAGCTACCACCAATCTTGCGTAGTTCATCGTAGATGTAACTGTGGTAGCGCCACGCAACAGTTTCGGCTGTTGCATAATTGGCTAGATCCATCCGGGTAATTAAAACGACCTAACAAGAGACCGGTTTGACGTGGAAGTGAAATATTCCTGCGTTTCGTCTGGTGAGGTAGCCGGGGCCCACCGCTCTACGGGTTTTGCAAATGTACATGGGCGGGGGTTATCACTTAACATCAGGTAACCGTCAGCTCATCTGATTTTAAGTGAACCTTCAAAGCTGGCTTTGAACCTACAAATAGCGGCTCAGCAGTCAGCAGCTACGAACAATGCATCGTGGGATTTATATTAACCGCTATTTAGTAGCTTTATGACCTTGAAAATACCTGTCACAGCAAAGATCAAGATAAAAAAACCGGGTAACGTCGCCTACGCGTGTTTTACTTGTTTTTACGTGCAATGTGTTAACAATATAATTTTAAATACGAAATTCCTGTCCCAACGTCTTAATCCCCGCTTATCTGACGATAGGCAAAATCAAAGACCAAAGATTATACTATACCTTTGGAACTTCGATTGGTGGAGAAATGCAAAAATACCTGTACAGATTCACGGCAATAGCACATGCCGCTGTGTTTCTTTACTACCGCCAGAAATACGAATATTTAAACGGTTTTATTTAGCTCGACCCGTACGGAATTTATTTGTTTATTTATTTGGGTCAAAATTAGAAATTGAAATTTAAGCACCTTCCCGTTGTCAGATTGATCTGAAATTTGGTACACACATTTAATTTAGATGACAATACAATATTGTAGTTTTCAGTGCACATAAAATAAAACCGTTAAACTTAAAAGTTTTTAAACGGTTTTATTTTGACTTAATTGTCAACTTAACTTGTGATAATTCAAATTCTAATATCTTTATTCAATATAGAAACGTACTAATTGATTGTCAGCAATAAGTAAGTGTACTTATTGATTATCAAAACACTACCACCGGTTCGGAAAAGAGACTGCCACTGACCTGAGAAGAACCGGTGAAAGAAACTCCGCGATATGCATGAGGTTTCTGATTAACGCAATGTGTATCTATCCAGCCTGATGCTGCCCTGGAGATCCTCACGAAATCAGATGGAAACTTGCAGGCGAAGTAGCATAAAACTGCACTCTAGTTGTTATTATCTACCTATGTTAGAGCAACGCAGCAGATTCTGTTGTTGCACGAACGGGCGGGCTCGTCGTCAGAAGACCAGCGTGAAGTGGGAGTATACTTTCAGGTTTCGGCTGATGAGTCAGGTAAACAGAACCCTAAGTAAAGGTTGGAAACGCATCTGCCACACCGTGGGTATCAAAGATGTTCATGAGTGACGATAAGCCCTTAACATCAGGTGAACCATCTGCTCGCTTAATCAATCCCCGAATAATGATACCGCATAAATTCTGATAAACCGATATTTGGAAGTTAAAAATGATCTTTAATATATTTTACGCAATAAACGATTATTATATAATAACTATGGCTATAAGAGAATCATAAGTTCACACTGTTTTCACTTATGAAAGCGGAATACATGAGTCAGGAATGAGCGTTACGGATATTTGCATAGCGACGAGTGACAATACAAGATGGGGCCATTAAAACCGCGGGAGAGCCGCAGCTAGAGAGTTTATAATGTCACGGTCAAGACGAGGCGCTCGTATAATTGCAGCCGCTGACGTCCGTGTGACAAGCGGAGGCGGATGTGAATCGAAAAATATCGTTTACCAAATAGAAAATTGACCAAATAGGTTTTTTACTATTTGGTAAATTTTCTATTTTTTTAACTAAGTATATATTTTTTTTATGTGAAAAGTTGCCAAATGAGCAGACGATTCACCTGATGTTAAGTGAATACCGCCGCCCATGGACATCTGCTACACCCGAGGGTTACAGATGCGTTGACAACCTTTAGAAAATTGGGCTACGGCCACCTCTCTCACCAGACGAAATGCGAAAGTATTATACTTCCACTTTACGCTAGTCTTCTCACAGAAGGTCGTGGTACTTACCCGGACGAGCCTGCCCATTCGTGCAACAGCGGAGGCTGCTGCGTGGCCCTACCACCGTCGGAATATGAATTATAATATTCAAATCAATTGAATAATCTCTAAAAATTAAATTAAACAACGGAATGATATGTCAATAACTAAACGATGAAAAAAAATTTCAGAGGAGTAACTAGGAGAATATCAAATCAATGATAACTTAGAGTCGATTGAACAATTTTACAATTTTGATGATTTCGACATAATATGGCTGTAATAACTAAAGTACTTCTAATCCGCTAAGTTTAATCAATTGTACCACAGCCAATAACACTCGTGGACGCGTCTTTCTATTTCTAATTTCCACGAAGTGCACAACATTTTCACCTACACCGGGACCGTAAATGGCCGGGCGATATTCAACACGTTTTAAACTTTAGCGTTTATACTTACTTATGATGGTGAAATTAAATTGAAACTTGCGGTAAAGTTGTGATAATGTTATTAAAGTGATTTTGTTCAAAACAGTAAGCAACGTTGTTCGAATAGTAAAAGTATCTTTATAAATGGACAAAGATCTAATATATAAGAGGGTATTACGTGGGCGTCCACTGAGATTCTATGATCATTTTTGGTTATTTTAATATAATTACAGCGTCCATAGCTAAAGTTGTGCGGGATACGAACTCGTAGGTAAATGTAAATTGAAACCAACCAAATATCTTGTTTTCCATTCTAGGGGCGAAAAGATAACTGCGAGTATAGGGTTGCCAAGGTAAGGACGGACAGATAGAGCGAAATACATTGTTCCATATTTTTAAAGACCCAATTACCGTAGTGGATGGTGGACCTGGCTCTTGCGCCAGAGGGTATGGCTTCGATTTCCAATACTGAAAAAATATAATGAGGAACATAGTGGTTTTCTAATGTACGCATTTCTACAATTTAATGTGCGCATATCTGATAGGAAGCACTTTAACGTTACTTCTGTATGATGACGATGGCATGTTTATTTTTTTTATTTTCTGCTTTTATTGTCTTGTTTACGACAATGAGCCAGCCATATAGCTCGTGAAACCGATAAACGGAGAACGTTTATCGTGTAGCAGCCTTGTCGCTATCGCAGTTTAGAACGACTCCCACTAGATGGAGCGGCGACCTGTGCAAGCTGCAGGAAGTCGATGAAGGTGGTTTCGTTCGTATTACTGAAGGTCCACACACTCAGTGATTACCAACACGCATGCTCTGTAACAACAGTTGCTGTCCATTTTTTATTCGAAACTAGCTTACGCTTGACTGCCATCCCACCTGATTGTAGGTGGCGATGCCGATGATTTGAAATAAAAAAAATAAACCAAAGTATTGACCATAAACAACCATCCAAAACATTCCAAAAAGTCGTTGATTAAATACGGACCACACCGACGGTATGACTCCGCATGCACTTTAGGTATCAACTTCCTCAAACACTACACCACTGCCTTGTCGAAATTACAACTCGGTACATTTCGATCGCGGTACGAACCCGAGCCAATTTCGGTGCGGCGCGGTCACACGCGGCGGCGCCTTTGATCTCGGCGTGGGAACGGCGCGCGCTTAAGGCGACGCTTCCTGGTGCGCATAATTTCGAATTTACTACGTGTGCGATTTGATGGACTCCGCACTGGGCGCGAGGAGGAAGCCATTAGTTGTGGAGGTGAGGTGTGCGCTGGCGGAAGGGATTAGTCAAACATTTCGCGCTTAAATTGTAGGTAGGTTAGCAAGTGAGTCGATAAGTGAGCAAATCAATTGATTTGTACACTCCGCCATCAGTAATTAGCTTTTAATTAGCAACTGCTAAATAAATTTGTTACTAGAGGTGTATGGCCTGGAATTATGAGCTAAATGTTTGGTAATAGATGCTTTAATCAATAAAGTGATCGCTGCCTTAGAGTAAGCGCTTCTGCGACTATTTATAAATTTACTTATTTATACCTTTTCATTCAAGTAGTTTTATGTTTTGTAATTTTATGTTTTCGACGTAATTAAGGTTTGCGGGTATGAGCCAACGAACTCGCAATTGTCTACCTATCCGTACCGTAGGCGAGTTCATTAAAGAGGAAAAAAACGAACCAGAACCTAACGAAAAGGCCTAGTTCGTTTGTCAACATCTGATATATTTGTATATTACACATTTCTAACATTATATATTTAAAGCGAATATGAAAAGCATTTACGTTGCTTATTATTAACAGTCGTCTCCTTAATGGATCGGGTGGTGCGAGCGTTGAAACTCGCCTTCCGATCACGGCTATGAATTATTGTTATTATGAAGATGGCGTTTGGTTTCTATTGTCTCCGAAATTTACCACAGTACATAGAGCGGAAATTAGAGCGCCTTTGGCCATGAAATGCACTGCGTAATGCATATTGGAGAAAACAGTAAAAACAAATTGGTTGCTAAATAGCTACAGATTGAGGGCGGTGTTTTAGATTTCGATTTAACGCGGGCAAACGAGTACGACGTGCGGGTTTATTTTCCCACTAAAAATATATGTCACACAGCTGGGCAAAAGTCCACCATGCGTCCAGTTTCCCCAACTTCCGACAACTCTAATTTTTTTTAATTGTGCCAACCCTAACGATGTTTTCTCCCTTTTATCTCTAGAACTAAGGTACTTCGAAACCACTTACTGTGGTAGGGCCACGCAGCAGCCTCGGCTGTTGCACCAACGGGCAGGCTCGTCCGAGTAAGTACCACGACCTCACAGAAGACCGGCGTAAAGTGGAAGTTTAATACTTTCGCGTTTCGTCTGGTGAGTGAGGCTCTCTGGCTCATCTGCAACCCTCTGGTGTAGCAGATGTCCATGGGCGGCGGTATTCACTTAACATCAGGTGAACCGTCTGTTCGCTTGGCAACTTTTCACATAAAAAAAAATTAAACAACAGTACATTTCTGTTGTCGATCATCATCCTCACATTTAAGTGCTGATCCTTCTTCAATGACTGTCACGAACCATACGATCTAGGCTTTAGCAGGTCGGTTAAGTGAACTACACTTATCCATATTTATGTGTCAAAGTATAGGTACTAGAAACAGCAGCCTCGGAAGGTGCAAATGTGTGCGTGCATGAATTTCCATCGAGAACTTTCCTTAGAGCGTTTTCGACGCAATTATTGTGTAATCCCGCGTCGGGGTTTTAATTAAAATGCAAGCAGAGAGATATTTTTTTTTCATTAACAAACGAAATCGATTACTCATCCCCGCATCGACACGCGATAATTCAGTGCCGAGAACAAACGACGCTCGCTGAATTATTTTCAACCCGAGCTGTGTAATTATAGAGTCAACTTTCGATCGTCGAGCGTTGTCCGCCGAAGTGACGTTGCATGCGCCAATGATTAAAAATCATACAAAAGGTCCGAAGATACTAGATGACCAGCGTTACTTGGTCCGAGCGGTGTGTCAGCCAACTTTGTACAGGTCTACGTTAGTACCGTCCGCTGGTGGCGAGGAGTGCACAATTACAGTGGACGTTTAATTTCATGACAGGTAATAGGCAATGCGCAAGACCAATGAAAGTGTGAGAAAGTATTAAGGCTCGGCCGCTTTGCTTTTGTGTTGAAAGCATTATGCAAAAGATACAGGTGAATTGTTTAGTTTTATATGTACATGTCTCTGTAAAATATGCTTCGTATATTTATACCCTAAAGTATTTTATTTAAAACATTTGGCATGAGTTATTAAATGAATGGCGCTTTATAAAGACTGAAGTTGATTTTACTATTTCTTTGTTGTAATTTAATAGTACGTAAGCAGATAAATTTGTCAGATCTAAAACCACAATGTCTGACGGCTTACCGTGTCTACTACCTATTCCGAACCCCAAATACCGACTTTTTTTATATTACCCGAAAATATTTTTTATATTGTTAAAGTTATGAGCTGCCAAATCCTAGTCGCTGATGGTCCTTACTTTTGTGAGAAGGTGGCGCTTAATCTGATGTTGTGTTAACCGCCGCCCATGGACATTTGCGACATCCGTAGGGTTGCAGATGCGTTACCTTTTAATAAATTGGACCCCGGCTACCTCACTCACCAGAGGAAACTCAGGAGTATAACACTTCCATTTCACGCCGGTGTTCTGTCATTTCGTGGTACTTCCCCGGACGGACCTCCCCATTCGTGGAGCAGCAAACTGTTGCGTGACCCTACCACAATTGATAAACTTCCCTTTGCCGTTAAGGGGAGCACTCGCCCCTGTCATGTGCCCCGACCAATAAAGCATCGCTGGCACAAAGCGAGGTCCGGCGTGGGGTCCCGTGTGGTCCAGGGCAGGCGGTGCGGTCTTTTTGCCCCTGTCGGGGCTGTCGGAAACAATGGTCGCAATCTAACATCTCGCATATTGTCTACCAAACGCTCTAATAGCCGCACCGGGAGCCACGCCGCGGTGGATGCGCTCCGCTCAGATCGCGCGCCATTGAAGGCACGTATTGTGGTCTGCACAACGAAAGCGCAGTTGAGTTCAAAAGACCTCTTAATCAGCAGTAGAATTCGAAAGAAATCTCTCCCCAGTCGTCCCTACATTCCTGAAGGTCGTGGTCTTGGTTGCAATCTCGTGTGGACTCTTCCATAGTCTTCTATATCGAAACCGCCATGTCGCTAAAATCGGTGCATTCAAAGGAAAAAAGACTGAAGTAAAACGTGGATATTCTCATCGTTAGACAAAAATCAGATTACAGAATGGACTTTCCAAAAGTCTGAGTGCTCAGCTCGCGATGATGCGATGAAGCTGATCATAATACTCCGAAACACTTCATATTTGGACATGCGAACCCTCACCACATGTGAAGAAAACTGAAACTATTTTAAAGAGAAGGTGGCACGAGTAAAGATCACTGCCTACCCCATATCCACAGCATCAATGTTTGTGTTTACTAAGTTCTGAGAAAATAGCTACGAGAATTCAATAACATTTCTAATAACTTTTAACACATTTTTTAAATTTTTTATTGAATCATTTTATTCAATAAGGGAACTTATACCTTCCCTGACGGCAACGCATTCCTAACAGCTAAGCATTGCTCGATTCCCGCATCCGCAAACGAGCACTAAACGGTTTTTCACAGAACGCAGAGTTGAAAAATAAATATGATTAAATTAAACTATTTTAAGGATTTTATCGCGTTTTAATTTGATTTTTAAATTCGCGAAATTTCTAACCCTTTCCAGCGTTCATGTTCACGGGACATACTGACACCCGGCTTCCTGATCATTGAGAAGATCGTTTTGATTATTTCAAAGAGTTTAACCATCCCTTTGGCAACTCAAATGATTTGACAGCTGATTAGTTAATTTCAACGATGTTCAGTGTTTCAGAAAGCGGTTTCTGGGACACTGACATTTGACGCCCTTATGTCAGAGCTCATCAGGACCACCGTCAATTGACCGATTAAAAATATTTTCAACCGAATTTCAAAACGGAGAAGGTTCTCAATTCGACTGTATTTTTTTTTCATGTTTGTTACTTCAGACCTTTCGACTGAAGTAACGGATTTTGATGATTCTTTTTTTATTTAAATGCTGGTGCTTCATATGTGGACACATGATAATTTCATTGATATATTTTGATTTCATTGATTATCTGTAGATACGTAGGGAACTTCTGACAATCAATTGAATTAATACAGAGCACGGTGTTTGAAGTCGGTTTTGTTAAACGGTGAAGCTATACTTAAAATATTATACATATTCGCGGTGAAAACTTAAAAATCAATATAACAAATGTGACTTTAACATGATGTAGCGTCGACTTGGGTAGTTAGCCGGGCCTCCTCCGAAGTGAGGCGAGCGTCCATGGCGCTTGCCGTGCGCCAGCCCGCGGCTTCGCTCATTGTCCGACCCCAGCGCCCCTCTGCCCCATTGTTCGTTCGCCACCTAGACGGAGCGCATTCAAATCGCATTATCGCCGATGCGAGAGAAAAATCCTACGGGCGCTTTTCGCGTTGCTTAGCGCGCTTTCATTAGCCTCGGCCGTTCGTGTGATTTATGTCTGTTTTGTTACTTTTGGATTAGGCTCACACTACGCAAGGTGGAGTTTTGCATGTGTAACTTATAGTGTAATTTCCTACCGACTTATCATGTTATTTGATATGATACAGTCCTATTTACTTTTCACCTTTTAAGTGCCAGTCGTATTTTATATTATTAATCGTTTAACTTTGATATCGAAGCTTGTGTACCTAGCTAAGAAATCGTCTTTAGCTCTATATTTGCACGTTTCTACCGTCTGAAACCACAGTAAATATTGAATGTGGATTTAATGTTAAATGGATAGGCAATAATATTTGTTCGTTTATTCTTTTATACAATAATGTACTGTACATATAGGAACTTTCTTTTTAGTTAGGAACTTTAGAAGTAGGAGTAGCTTACTCTAGCTATTTACTAGGATCCCTAGTACTATATTGTATGTCTCTTCGCATACCGCGCTTAAATAAAATAAATAAGAGAGTTTTGTGAATCGGCATGCCTGAACCTTCTTTAACTTTGAAAAGAATCAACCGCTCTTCGATTATTATTTCACCTTCCTATAGAAGTATAATATTGTATAGCTGTACAGGTAAGTGTATAATTTATAGATTCTTTACCAACAATAAAGAGGCTGAGCCTCATATTACCTCAACCATTAAAATGAATCAGCCAATGCCGAATAAGCATGAACTGTGCGGTAAATACATGACTTACAGTCTTTTTAATTAAAGTCTATGGTGGTGTATTATCCTGTGGTATCTTTGGTACATTTGCCGGACTTTCGTCTTGTAAAGCAAATGACCACTGTAAATAATAATAATAATAATATACTTTATTGTAAACCAAAAAATAAAAATAAAAAAGTACAAAAACAAAATATTTATCAAATATGGGTCATCAAAAGGCGGCCTTATTGCTACGCAGCAATTTCTTCCAGGCAACCTCAGAAATTTATCAAAAGGAATTGTTGATGGGTAGGATGTACATGAGGGTAATAAAAATAAATAAGTAATAAAAGCAATCAAAATTAAATTAATAAGAAAAAACATACCTCATGTGTGTGATCAAAATTGTAAAATTTTGTAGATAAATGAACAAAAACTTTCGGCACTGCGGGATTCGAACCTGCTTACTTCTGGTTTCGCGCCCAGACGCTTTACCAACTAAGCTAAGCGGCCGATGACCGCACGGCGCGAAAATCTTGACATATATCTACGTTCGTTCCACTGCATTTTTAGCACCTTTATAGCACCTTATAAATAACAATCATCAGTCTCATAAAGAGATATTAAAATGTTCGTGCAGTCCAAATCCTGTTACATTCTGAATTCTGCTGTTTTCCATGGCTCGAAACGCTTAACCTGTTAGATAATTCATTCGTCGTGCGTCATCTTCAATCAAAAACCTTTATCGCGATTATTTTCACCTGAACGCGTTTAAAATTTATAAGAAATCTGCTTTTATGAGTACTAATTAATAAATAAAACGCCGCGAAATTGGAAAGTTCAAGCGAAAATAATTGGCGATAGTCGTCCTTTTTTTATTATTCGCATTAAAGATAATATTTTAATTGTAATGTTCTTTTTAAGGAGGTTTGACGTCAGAAAGACAACATGATTCATACGTTGTGCAGACCCACCTAGCTGACGAGGATGACGTGGGGACGAAAGGTAACATTATAACTTTGGGCAAATTTAAAGTAGTTAGAGATTATCAGCAAATTAAAAAAGCACCAAAAATTTCATACAATTAGAATAGAAAAATTAAACAGAAGAAGTACGAAGTAAGATTTTATTTCCAGCCAAACCCTGAGATGAATTTCAAAAGTTAACCCGTTAAATAACAAAGTGTTTATTCTATTTCACTCCCATAGACTTACATATCACCTACTCGTACAAAGACGCCCAAAGTTAGTATACCACAGCGGCGACTCCTTGGTGCAGTTGCCAAGGTATTGGCTTCGGCGCCAGGGCTACTGGGTTCGCTCACGGGACAACTATTTGTGTGGCCCACAGATTATTGTTTCGCATCTGGGTGTTTGTCCGCGCGAAATTTATGTGTGTAAAATGTCCTTAAATCACAGGATAATGTTATCATATAATACGAACAATGTTTTTTTTAAACAAAAAAGAAACCACCGCGTTCCTCTTAGGCATATTCTAACTTGACTTTTCACCTCACTTTCTCAATTTGCAAGCTTTACGTGTGTTTGTGGCACTACCATGGCTTTCCCTCGTCCGACCGCAAAACCTAGACTAGACGAAACATTGCACGGGGGGGGGGGGGGGGGGGGGGGGGGCGGTGCGCCCCTCGAGATAATGCCCCGGCCATGGGGTTCGATTCCCCGATGCCCGTACCCACATCTGTCCGACTTCTAGGGTGTAGACGACCCGTGTGTGTGTGTGTGACCGCAAAACCGATGAAAGAGTCATAGCGAATTCGGCTTAAGCACCAATTACATCCTTAAAATTGGGAAACGGTAAATACGAAAACTTCAAAGTAGTTCCCCGAAGGGACATTAAAGGTCATTTGAGATAATTTACCCCGACATGTAAAGCGTTGTAATGAACCGAAATCATACGTGTCGGGTCACCAACGGCCATTGGTAATAACGCCTCAGGACACCCAGCCTGGGTGGAGGTCTACAGGTAAATGACCACTGCAAAGGGACAGCGCAATGGGAAATTTCAAGCGATTAGTCTGCTTTCTTTCTGTCACTTCGGGGAATTTACTTCGCGAGTTATCGAGTTGGCGATTAAACATTTTAGGTTATAGCTAATGACAGAAAGCGTGCATTTATGTTACGAGCTGTTAACCGCGGCTTCGCCCACGCGGCCAAAGGGAATGAACAATGAGTTTTTTATTTTACACCAGAATATCTCGCAGAAGGCTGAATTTTTTTCCTACTTTAATTGACACTTATCTTTACCTATATTTTGGACAATTCACACAATATCTTTATTAGTTATAGCCTATGTGTTATTCTGATGTACAAGCTATATTAAAATCTATTCTGTAGTTTTTGCGTGAAAGAGTAACAAACATCCATCCAAACATACAAACTTTCGCTTTAAATAATATTATTATTATATTATTAAGTAACATAACGCCGTAAATAAATAATGTTGCAAACATAGAAAGGGCTTCTCTGCCAACATTTTGGTCGACAGAGATTTGTCGAACACTTACATTTGTCGAATTCGTCGAACGCAAATTCGGCGCCAAAGCATGCGGTTTACCTAACGCACACCACTTTAGCCATTCCGAATAAACAATTTATATAAATAATAAATATCGATTACGCTATCTATTGATTTTATTCATACTTTACTGTATTACCTTCGTAATAGAACAACACAGAAGGCGGAATTAATGTCTCAAGGCATTCTCTACCAGTTAATCTACGGTGTGGTGTAGTCACTGTATAGTTAATTAAAACGCCAGTGAAATGACGAGGAATAGTAATTTTGTCTCTGTCAATTATTTTTAGGATTTTGTTTCCATTAGTTTTGAGATCTTAAGATCGTTTCTAATTTGAATCCCAATAGCGTTTGGCAATTTAGATTTGCCTTCCTTCGAGTCGTATAGTATGAAATGTATCAAAGTACATATTTTATTCACTCCCAATCCACTTTTACAACATCAGTATTAACGTATACGCGTGTACGTCTCCCTTTCGATTGCCAATCACAACGCTCGGCGGGCGGAGGGATGCTAAAAGGCGCGCAGTTAAAGATACGCGCCGTTTTAAATTTAGAACGCGCTGTTGAGAACAAATAGAAGCTACCAGCGACGGGGCACTATCGATGCGCGATCGCTCTTCCCAGAAATGGACTTAAGCGCACGTCTAAACGCTAGCATTAAAGCGAAACGTCAAACGGGCCCGCGACATCGGGAGCAAAACAAGCTGGACGTTATTGAGCGGTCCCGCGTCCGTGGAAGCGCGCCGGCACACGGCGAGCGGAGCGATGTCCAGCGCTACTTGCGCTATTTTTTTTTTAAGTCTACGTTTATGTTTCGACTTTTAAGTTACACTGATGCAGAACGCAAAATACCTATAGAATTTTTTACAGCGACGTCAAGTATGTTGGAAAGTCGTATGTGTTCGCTTGAAAGTTATTTATTACGTTCATTCATGAAGTGTACGAAAAACATAAAAACTATAGACTGCTGACGCAGCGTGCTTATAAATTTCCTTATGAGTTATTCATAAGGAAATTTGAGAGGTATTTTAAATTTGATGGGGTATTGTAAATGGAACTCGTTGTTGCACCATTACAGAAAGCAGGCAATAATCGATATGAAAATTGCTTGCCTTGTTCACTTTTGAAATTTCAAAACCCTAATCCCAAGAGAATATTCCGATTGCGGGATAACTCCAATTAAAACATAACGTGTAAAATTAAAAGACGGTGGAGAGTTTCATAAATATTTATGACATAGAGGTTCATAATAACGAAATACTGTGAATTACACCTATATTGAGTACACCTCAATACAATGGCCGCACTATTATTACAGCCAAACAAATTGTACTAGACCACCAATGCCCTGTGATACTAATAAAAAGCCGGAGCACAACATCCCTCATAAAATCGCTTATCTCGCGGTGGACGCTAGGTCTGCGTGCGGGCCCAGATGCGCCCGGGACAGGTGCGAGCGATCAATTAACAACGAGCGATGGCGGAGATACGCAGCGCGTGCCCGCTCGCACGCCCGCCACGCCGCCCGCCGCCAAGGCATAAGATGAAGCGTTTTCACCACATCAATATGGACACATATCACATCGATATTTACAATTGTAGAAATTATCCACATTAACAGATCATTGGCTATTGCTTACTGGATAGCAGTATTATTGTAACAAATTATTACGACTATACGTAAAATATATCTTAACTTTAATTTTAAAGTACCCGGAGGACCGAGCTTTGCTCGGTTTGTTTTTTTTTTTGGTAAATCGTGTGTTTTGGAAATTACATTTAGATACAAATTACTGAGTAATGAAATATGCGTAATATTTTTCGATCTTACCGACCTAATAATAAGAAAATATGAAGTGGCGTTTTTCACAAAAGAAACAACTTTAAAAAAAGGGAAAAAAGTAACAAAATAACAAATCGACAAAAAAATTAAAAATAAAGAAAACAATGATCTGGAATCGAAAAAAAAGTAAAAAAATTAATGTGTAAATGATCGTGACGCGAACCACGGCCGTCTGTTTTGAGGCCGCCCGATTACCGACCGAGCTATTACGACATTTTCTTTTGCGGCGAAATTTACCGTCATATTCGAATGATATTTTTCATTCCTTGAAAATAGGGATAAAGGGACATTTTCTAAAAAATGAAACCTAGCTAGATCGATTTTTCGCCCCCGAATCTACGCACATACTAAATTTCATGAAAATCACTGGAGCCGTTTCCGAGATTCCGATTATATATATACAAGAATTGCTCGTTTAAAGGATAAGATATCTATATACATTTAGCTCACAGAATTTTCGGTCGTTACTACTCAGTGATTACGTACGTTTAGGAACCAGTGGTATGTAATGAAGATCTTATGCGTGTGTTACACGTCCCACAGTCTGTTTGACTGTCCTGTGGCCATAAATACGAAACAGTTTTCGAAACGTCGGCAAAACGCAAAATCATAATAAAACGGGAAGATATCCGTGAAATAGTTGCAGTTAACCATAGATGTAGTGTGGGACGATCCCCCTACATGGGGTGACGACCTGTGCAAGTGTGCGGGAAGTCGATGGATGCAGGTGGCTCAGGATCGTGCTTCGTGACAATCCGTGGTGTAGGCCTATATTTAGCAGTGGACTCAAACAGGCTGAAATGGTGATGATAATGACATAATATTCGCGTTAATACAAGAATCCGTTTTCTTTGCCATTTCCAAATCAATCCAATTGCATTGGAAATTCTTCAAACACTCCCATTGACAGGCATTCACAAATGTACATTTTAATGATTTCTTTATTTACACAAACACAACACGTTGTTAAATGAAACTATTTAAAGAATTTAATCACTTAATTCTCCACTTTTCACCATACAGAATATCCCGTAACAATGAGTTCTAGGGTTTGAAACCTCCGGAAGCGCCGGCTTTGGATTTTTTTGTCTAAAAAACGTTGCCCTTACTTTAGGACAACATTACCCTGTGTTATAAGGACGTTTTACAAATAAGAATTTCACGTGGACAAACACCCAGATGCGAAACAACTATCTGTGGGTCACACAAATAGTTGTCCCGTGTATTAATCGTACCCACGACGCCTACAGACCACCGCGCGGCCCCACTGTGGATTGGCAGACTTCACGTATGTACCTTCGAATTTTTTTCTGTTATCATTTCGAAAATATCCAAGTCTCCCCGCGATGTTTTTCTTCACCGCTGCGTAAATGATGAGTGAGCACTTAAAATGACATTACAAATGTTAATGACTTCATTAGTAGCAGCATCGAGATTTTGGCTTAGGTTACTCGAATGTATTAAACTTAGAGCGAACGCCCGTACACTAGGCTATAATTTCTTTAGCAAATTTAGCATTATCACCACAATCTGTGGCGTGAATAAATTTTATACAAATTGATATCACTTCTTTCTTGTACTTTTGATGCAAAAGTGTGCTCTTTACACTCCTCTAGGATTTAAGACGATAAATACACTTCGTCAGACTTTTATAGTTCTACTAGCAGTTCGCGACTTCGCCCGCGTGGAATTTAAAATAAATGAAATAAAATTTCCAAAATAAATGTGGCCTAAGTTACTCCTTATTACATCATCCATCTGCCAGTGAAAGTCCCATCAAAACCGGTGCAGCCGATTCCGAGATTAGCCGGAACAAACAGAGAGACAGGCAGACAAAAATTGTAAAGAATGTTATTTTGGTATATGTACCGTGTATGCATCCATATGTATTTATTAAACAGCGGTTATTTTAATATTCCAAACAGACACTCCAATTTTATTTATCCGTATAAATGTACAGATTATTTTCACGTCTTTTTACGCCTAACAGACAACGATGATACTTATTATATACACCGAATATTGTATATGTGCGTATTCAAGTCACCATGCCATCGACTTGTACCACAGGCCGAGCTGAAGATATTCCCGCCCCAATCACTCTATACTAGAGTGGCCGATCTCTTGCGGAGATAGCGCTGAATATTAAACGCATGAATATTAAACGCATGAATATTAAAAGTGCTGTAGCATTCGCGCTCAGCAGTATTTGCACGGCCGTTTGTACTTCGTTAGGGCCGATTAAAATCCGAAATTGAAATGAATAGACACTCCATATAACGTATTCGTTTTATGCAGCTAAATTAATCAAGTCATAGGCTTCACTCCGACATGAAACACCAATCTTTTTTGTTAAATTAAAGCAATTAGAAATAAACTAAACGTCCCTAATTCAGTTCAAACTTCGCCCACGGCACACTTGGCTTTGTTCAGTTCCGCTACCAGTCCGCGCAGTTTTAGGTCCGATTGCTACAAGAACTTCTATAATTATTACATATCTGAGTTTACTTTCTGTCTACGCGTAGACAACTGGCGGGAGCGTTACTCGGTTCATTTGTAAGAGGGCAATAAAATTTTTAAACACGACCTTGAGCGCAAATGCATTCAGACACAATACAACCACAGATCTGATAACTAGCCGTTCGCAGCAACAGCAAACATACATTTCCAGTTAACAATGGCACAATACCGTTCCCATTGGCTTTGTATCAGCCGAGTCTCCCACGAACCGAGGCGGAGTATCAATTCAAATAACTGGGGTGTTTGTATGGCAATATTAATATGCGCTGTAATTATTGGGCCGTGCTGAGGACACGTTTTGACGGATGACGGAAAGTGCTCTGCATTAGACTTTTTTTATTTCAAAGACGGCAATCGAGCTGACAAACCTGATGTTAAGTGATAATTATGTAGTATATTTAATTATTAGTAATATATATTATTAATTATATAATTATATTCGTTAACGCCTCGTCTGTGTTTTAACTATGCTAATATAACTAGTCATGCTTTGACGTACCAAACAGTCACGAACATTTAAAGAAAATAAATATTTTTAATCTGTATCACCCATTTATTACTAGCAACCCCGCTCCACTCCTGCTGTCATTGTGTTTTTTCGTGCCGAACAAAACGTTGTGGTTATATTTTTTAGTCTTGAGGTTTCACTAGAGGAAACACGAGATATCAATCAAATTTAGTCATGAGATGCCACAAAATGATACACGAGATATAAATCAAATTTAGTCTTAAGATGCCACAAGAGGGCGCACGAGATGACAATCTAATTTAGTCTTGTTGTTACAAGCAAGTACACAAAAAGCATAAACATGCTTTATTAAAAACATTTTTTTTAAATTTTAACTTCTAGTTCTCAAAAGAGAACAATTTCCCGAAGGGACCGTGAAAAGAATACAAATCAGAGTGATCAACACTGGTGAAAATGAAATTAAAAACATAGCTTCCTGAACAAGTCATATCTGAACTTGTCAGAAAGAATTCAAAAAATTTAATACTTCATCAAAATACATCCCAATCTTGCAAAATTGTGGCAAAATCATAACGGAACTTGGTCTTTAATAAAAAAAATGAAAGATTGAAATTATCAATAAAATAAAAAATCTTATTATTTATAATTGCAACTTCCCTGCGCCACTCTTAAATATATCATCTCTATCATAATATATGGCCATAATGAAATATGCATTATTACACAAAAAGGATAAAAGTGATATTAAAAATTAAGCATTGCTATTAAAAAATTGGTATTGCACTGTGATTTGCACCAAATGGAATCTCAAACAAGGTGAATTGTTATCCTACTAAGATTAAATAAGAACAAGAAGAGAAAACAAACAAAAATTAAACAAAGCAAATTTGTTTGGAGAGAACCATGTTACATTTATTTACATTAATATGTGATAATCTAACCGAAGCTTTGAAACACAATAAGAGGTTTCATGTCAGCATCTTTTTATAACTGAATAATAATCCTTTAAACTATTGGGGCCTATCTGGTTTGAAGAGAATGCAAAATCAGGGCAACTAAGTCTCAAACCAGCACCCTTCTCTGCAACTCATCCTCATTCGGAAAAGTGTCCACCAGCAAACATGGAGTGAAAGAATTAAAGGAGAAATCTGCTGGTAGACAATCTTTATTTTATAGTAATTGGATAAAAATTACAAAACATAAAACCATATTAAAATGGGTGATATACCTGTAGAATGGAAATATTTTTTTTCAAACACAGCCTCCATTAAACAACTTTTTCAACCCTAGTAAAAAACAAAATATAAAAAATATTTTTTCTAAGTGGAAACATGGAAACAATCAATGTTTTCCCAAATGTGTTGAAATTGGTATTGATACATTGTGACAACACTATTACCAATGAAGAGTCTATAGTCACCGGTAATTTAGAAACCTAATTTGAACTAAATAATATACATACTGTAAAAAAATTGTTCCAAAGTTTTTTTAATGGATACTTTTTTTTTTACCAATTTTTTCTTTATATCAAGTCTAATATCTTAAGAAAGTTCAATTGCCCCTAACTGGCCATCACAATAAGTTTCACATTGTTTTCATCCTGTTGAAAAATGAATATATATATATCATACCTGCAATCTTTATTCTTTAAAATCTTTTACAAAGGCGTTAACGAATATAATTAATTGATCAAAGGGTGGGAAATTAAAAGT